CTCTTTCTCCAGCTGCATCCTTCAGAGCCCTCCAGGAGGCTTCTCTGTGAAGCTGCTTCAGTGCCAGCCTTACATGAGTGCCAGCCTTACATGAGGGCCAGCCCTCTGAGGCATCCTTTTCCTCAACCTTCTCTCCCTAGATCATGGCAGTCGCAGGCCTGGATTCAAGTAAAGCTCCCAAGTACTCACCGAGCCACTCAACCCGGTCATGGGCCACCCCTCCAGCAACCCCACCATACCAGGACTGGACACCGTGCTATACCCCGCTGATCCAGGTGGAGCGGTCAGAGTCCCTGGACCAGGTCAATGGCAGCCTGCCTTCCCTGCACCGCAGCTCCTGGTACACGGATGAGCCTGATATCTCCTATCGAACTTTTACACCAGCCAGCCTGACTGTCCCCAGCAGCTTCCGAAACAAAAACAGTGACAAGCAGAGGAGTGCAGACAGCTTGGTAGAGGCAGTGAGTATCTTCTGGGCCATGGGAGGGCAGGCCCCGTCAAAGCAGAGAAGAGAGCCAGTCACATGGCAGGTGGTGGTGTTGGGGGGGGAGGGGGCTCCAGAGCCACATCGATCAGGCTCACCAGCTCTAGTCACAGGAAGAGTCTGGCCACATCTCATGAGTCTGCTGCACTCTGGAACATAAGTGGGCATCACTCTTCTTGGGCCATGAGCAGCTTTCCAGCTCTGTAACATTTTCAGAGATGGAGCCACTTACATTTAGCTGTGACATGTAAAGTCTAGTAAACACCACTGGGCTGAGTCCCTAACGCATGTCATGCAGGTTAGTGTGGGAACAGATCTTTCTGCCCCTATCCTCCAGGCTCATAAGGTGTTTGTGCCATCGGTCCTCTCTCCGACACAGGTCCTGATATCCGAGGGCTTAGGACGCTATGCACGGGACCCCAAATTTGTGTCAGCAACCAAACATGAAATCGCTGATGCCTGTGACCTAACCATCGATGAGATGGAGAGTGCAGCCAGCACCCTGCTCAACGGGAGCACATGTCCTCGAGCCAATGGGGATATGGGCCTTGTCTCCCGCCGGCAGGACTATGAGCTGCAGGACTTTGGGCCTGGCTACAGCGATGAGGAGCCAGACCCTGGACGAGACGAGGAGGACCTGGCTGACGAAATGATCTGTATCACCACCTTGTAGCCCCGTTGAGGGGCAGACTGGCTCTGGCCTCAGGTGGGGCACAGGAGGGCCAGGGATAAAGTGCCTCGTAGTTAGGAAAGCTTGGGCACTAGCTGGGAGCAAAATATTCAGTTAGACTTTCGTATGAGTGATGTCACGCCTCAAGGAAGCCATAAACCTGCTAGGAACAGGTTCTGAGCAGCTGCACCTGGCAGTGTGCCATGCACTCAGCTCAGGTCCAGCCCTCAAGAGAGGATGGGTGAGGCCATCAGACCAGCCCCACGTGACACAAAGGCGGCACTACCCCCAGGGCACCCGCCACATCCACCCAGAGGCATGCTGGGGGGAGGTTAAAGGTGATGACGGTCACCACACCTGTGTCATTACCTCAGCCGCTGGTCTAGCCTATCAGCATATCCATTTTTAAACCCCTTCCCCAAAACACACTGCTTCCTGGTTCCGGTTCTGCTCTTCCGCAGCACGGTGTGTCAGAGCCCCGCTGCCGGCGGTCATCGTGAGAGGCGCGGGACCTGATAAGGTTTCTGTTATGCAGTGCCAGTTTACATGCGAGAACGTCACTAGGATGGTCAGTTCTGACTGTCATGTTTAAGGGCCACTGTAAACTGGAATAATAATGCACTTGCAACCAGGTAAACTTAGATACGCTAGTTTGTTTAAAAATTATAGATTTACTTACTGTACATGACTTGTAATATACAATTTGTATTTGTAAAGAGATGGTCTATATTTTGTAATTATTGTACCGTATTTGAACTGCAGCAATATCCGTGGGTCCTAACAATTGTAGATCCCCACTGAAATTTAGAAATGATTAGTATTTTTACTCGGGCTATACAGAAGTAGAAGAAACAGAGCCACTTCTCCCTTATTCAATGAAAATTCTTTGGGGGTAAAATTTTGAGTTTGAAAACTTGACATTACAGAAATTTTTCTAAAATATTTTGAGTCACTATAAACCTATCTTTACATGAGATATTCATGATGACTATTTGCAGTCTTTTCTTTGGGCAGTTCTGATTTTGATACTGTACCTTTTATCCACCATGGGGTTGCAGCTGTCTTTTGGCTGGCTTTAGTAACTCGCAAGTACGTTAGTTTACAGAGTAGGTCAGCCTGACTCCCCTGCCCCTGGGCACCCTTAGGTTTGGTTTCCTCGGCTGCCTGGACCAACTGTTTCTGCATCTCCGCCATGGAGGTAACTGCACAGATGAACACAGAATGTGTGCACCTGTACCCTGGCACTGGGGGTGCTGCTTAAGAAATAAAGGGAACTGGGGAGGGGCCGGAAGGAGCACCGTGGTGGCCGAGGGGGTTAGAATGTCAGGGTCTGTACGGATCGTACTGTGGCCTTTCACACATCATCGCTGTGCTCTGTGTTCTCTTCGAGGGCTTTTATATGCAACTGAAAGAGGGCTGACGTTTTCATGAGAAAGAGTCACTTCAACTGTCTGTCTTGGGAAAACCCACTTTTGGATCGGTAGAACTGTCAAGGCCTCCTCTGTTAAAGAGTCATGCTGCCGACGTCATGTTACCTTGGCAGGGATTCGCTGCAATCAAAAAGACAGGTAGCAATTTTGGTTCAGAATTTTTAACTAATACATAGACAACCTGTCAATTTTTTTTTTTTTTTGTAAATAATGACACTTTGTTATAAAGACCTCACAAACCTCTTCGTAAGACATTCTTAAACCCAGATCCAAGCAAAAACACTTCCAGGTTTGTAAATGACTATTTCCTGACAGAAAGCCTTTTTTTATTAAAATGCAAAATGTTCTTCAGAATAAAACTGTGTAATTTCATTGTATTTGGGAGCTCTCTTCGCACAGGGCTGGCTTCGCCCTCGAGAGCTTCAGAGGAACAGGTGCTGTTGAGGGCAGCTCTGGACAGTTTTTCCTCACCCTCGGGCTCCTCCTGCGCCAGAGGTAACCTCGTATCAGCTGCAGCAAGCAGCGCTTCTCCCAAAGGGCTAACCACTGTCAACATTCTCTCAGATGCGCTGTCCACGGGGTCTTGGTCTTACTGTGGCTTAACATCAGCAGGCCAAAACTGCCATCCCACGACTGAATGTTCTAGAACAGGTGATGACCTCGTCCCAAGTTTTACAGGATGCACCACCTCCCAGTGTCGGCTTTCAGCCTGGTTCAATCTCTCATTAATATTAAATTTCTCTTTGTAAGAAAAATCTCAAGTTGTAGAGTATGGTTCTTTCCCTTGGTTTTAGGAAAATTTCAGGATTAAATCTCTGTTTGTTTACCCTCTCCCCCTGCAAAATGATTCTGTATCCATAGGATAGTTTGTGTCTTTAATAATGTAAAAATGGCTACTTGATTTAACTGTCAACAGTGAGGACCTAGTTAAGAACCAAGGCTACTCGGTGTGGACAAGTGGCACATTCCAACTCTCGTGTATGTGGGACCTGATGGAGGCTGGGAGGGCGGGTCAGGAGGGCAGAAGCCTCTGGGCACTTGGCATGGGTGTTGCCTGCCTGGGAGATGGTGGCTGGCAGTACTGCCCTCTCGACTGACTCTACTCTAGAAAGAAGCAAGGATGATTTTTCTCACATGATGTTTCTTACAGTGTAATGTGTCCCTGCAACTGAGTCTTCCACAGGCTTTCTTTAGGATGGACAGTTGACTTATTTGTAAAAGTGAGTTAAACACAGAGCTGACACCTCGCACGGAGTCCCAGCTCCCTCTCGGGCTCATTGAATCAAAAGCAGACTCCTTTTATTTGTTGGAAAGTTGTTTTGCCTTTTCTCTTGGGAACTGGAGGGCAGGTGGAGTGAGGACCACACCTGGGCCTGGCTTCCAACGTCAGAACAGGCTCAAGGAGGGGGACGTGAAGATGTCTTGGGGTGTGGTGTGGTGGGAAGGAGGCGGCAAGGGCTGCCCTGCCGCCATTCAGGGCTTATGCATGGGGCAGTTGTTTTCTTCTGACTTTAAGGGAAAGAAATCTGTGTAACAGATCTGATGTCATGTTTATCAATGGAAACAGGAAAAAACCTTTGGGGAGCAGGATATGGTTTGGGTGAAGAATCTATTTGAGTTTATGAAAATTACTGCCACAGCCTACCCTGGCAATGGAAAGGCTGCCTCCCATTTCTTAGACTCGCCATTTCCGGTTGTGCTGGCGGTGGGTCCTTTCCTGTCTGTGACATGTCCCTTGCTGTGTCAGGAACACCTCTGGTGGTGTGCACACAGGGTCCTGCACAGGTCAGACCTCTTCTGGGCATACGCACTGCTGTTAGGCCCCTTCAGCTACGCTTTTGCAAAACAGTGACTGATTCCCCACAAGACTGTGGCTGGTAAGGCCATTCCTGCATCACCTGCAAGACGCAGAGGGTGGGTGGCTGTGGATGGATGCTGTGAGCCAAGTGGGGGGACAAGAGACTCTCTGGCAGAACTCTCTTGGCAGACTTAGAATGTCTTGTGTGATCCTTTTAGAACAACAACAACAAAAAAGATACAGGTAAGCTTAAACAAGAGCTACCCACAGTTTGAACAGAAAAGAGAAAAGTCAGGCTTGGTGGTGTACAGTGGTGACCTCCCCTGTTCAAGAGGCGAGTTTGAGGCCAGCCTGGGCACTTTAGTGAGACACTGCCTCAAATAGGAAAAAAAGAGAAAGAAAAAAAAAAAAGAAAGAAAAGGAAAGAAGGAAAGAAACTCTGATAGTTTTCTTCTTTCTACCCCAGGTTTTTCTCCTTATCTGGGCCCAGTGTGGCAGGCTGCCAGATGGCAATTGTTTTCTTCCCTACTGTAAGTGGTGGCTTTGGCTAACTTAAGAAAAATCAATCCAAGATCCATTAGTTGCTATTCCTTGGAAGAAGAGTAGGGATAAAGCATCTCAGTTACTGGATTACTTTACTGAATTACAAGGAATTTAAAGATCAAAGAGCTGTTGTACATAGTATTTGCATCTTTTTCTCCGAAAACGTGAAACTTCTCCACTTTGTTTTTCTTTCATTTCGGTTGTACTTAAGTGCTTTTCCATCTGTCTCAGCACAGACATGGTCTGTGCCCACAGACGTGCAGAGCGTAAGAATCCATTGCCCTGTCTGTGGGGCCGCTGCAGCTGTGGTGCCCCGTTCTGGGGCCTGAAAGCTTCTCCCAGGACCTTTGCTCCCGAGTGGTGCCCAAGTAGGAGAGGCTGGTGCTAGGCTTCTGTGTTTCCTGTTAACAAGAAGATCCTCTAAAATGTTAAATCATGAATGCTTTGGTAATGAGGCCCAAGCGACCTTCCCTCCTCCCGCAAAGTTGGGAAAGCCTCTATTAGACTGTATTTCTTAAGAATCAGAGCTCCAGAGTTGGGGCCATAAGCCCCTCAGTCACCCAACTGAGCCCTACACCTGCCTCACCCTGAGAGTGCAGTGAGGATGGGAGAGAAAGGGAAGGCGGGGCTGCCCCTCACCAGCAGCTTTCCCCCAAGCAGGGACGCCAGGAACTGTGCCAGCCTGAGCTGAGCTGACTCAGGTATGACACTTGGCTTCAGTGTAAAACTTGCAGCCTCCTCAGGAAGCCTGACTTGGGAGGAAGCAGCAGCCACATGCAGCTCCTGTGCAGAGCGCCCTCCCCAAGAGGGAGCCCAGAAGAGAACTATTCCATCTAAGGGAGCAGGACCCTGGCTGGAGCAGGCCATGTGCATACAGGAAAGGACGTGGCATCGGCTAACCCTCCTCCTGAAACAGGCAGGGAGGAGGGGCCTGGCCTGAATGCTGGCCTTCCCCAAGGGGCCCACAGGGAAACTGGGGAAAATGAACTTGACTCTCACTGATTAGTACTGGTGACGTTCTCTGAGATATTATCTAGTTTTCAGCCACTGAGTAGGGCCACCTGGGTCCCAGTGTCATGAGACAGTTTCAGGAAAGTGCATTTGCAGCAAAGGCTGTGCTGGTCAGTCTTCTAGGCCTCCCTGGGGCTTCTCTGATCATCCTTGGCAGTGGTGGCATTAACGCTGGGTGGCCAGCGTCTTGGGCTTGTAGACTGGAATGTCCTTATCCCAGAGTGCGGGCAGCCCTTTGATAATGTCAGCTGCTTTCTCTGCGATCATGATGGTGGGAGCATTCAGGTTGCCGCTGACTATGCTGGGCATGATGGACGCATCCACAACCCTGAGGTTCTCCACTCCCAGGACCCTGGTCTCTGGGTCTACCACCGCAGTGGGATCAGAGGGCTGGCCCATCTTACAGGTGCACGAGGGGTGGTAGGCGCTGTCAGCTTTTGCCCGCACAAAGGCGTCTATCTCCTTATCTGACTGCACGTGGCTTCCTGGCTGCAGCTCCTTGCCCCGGAAGGGAGCCAGGGCTTCCTGGGCAAAGATTTCTCTGGACAGCTTCACGCACTGACGGAAATCCTGGATATCGGCCTCTGTGAAGAAGAGACGAGGAAGCCCCTCCTCTCACTGTGCCAGCCTCAGCAGGTTCACAGGATGGAGAGGCTTAACAAGCTATGGGAGACAAAGCTCACAGACACGGAGGACATAGCCACCAGGTACTAGTCCCCTGCTCATTGGCTGACATCCTAAATCTGTGATACCTGCCCTAGAGGCCTGGGTTTAAGTCAGGGTGCCAACTTCGCTATGATTCAGGGATAAGAACACACATCCCACCCACGAATGCCTATGCATCATCCTAGGGAAGAACCTGTCCCTAGGGAGGGCAGCTGCCTGCAGTGGCTCTGGCATACGTGCCAGGCCCTGGTGCCCCCATCTCCAGCTGTGTAAAGGGAGCCCTGGGCTTACTCAGTGCACAGTGCACAGCAGCTCTGGCAATTCAGTCTGGCAGAGCTGAGGAGAACAGAGGGCACCCTGGCTCCCAGGACAGGTAGCTCCAGGAGCCAAGAAGGGGCTCCATACAGGCATCCCCTCACTGGAGTCAGACACAGGACGGAGATGCTGCCTAATTACCTGTTGACAGGTAGTTGGGTTGGATCACAGGGTGCTCCTGGGGGTCGGCACTTCTCAGTTTGAGCCAGCCCACACTCGTGCCCCGCATGGGCCCCACATGCACCTAAGAGAGCCCAGAGGATACAGTGAAACCCACAGTGACCTCAAGGGGTAGGCGAGGCCTTAAGGTTTCCTGGATGGGGGCGAGGGGAACTCTGCATCCAGAGTCACTGAGAGCAGACAGTGCCCACGTCATATCCAGTTCCACGGTGACTCAAAACCACCTCAGTGACTCTCTCTCCCTGCCAGCTTTACATTCTGTTGTCCCAGACTTTCGGGGTCGCACTCCCAGGGCCAAAGCAGCCTTATTTGTCCACTGCCAGTGTCTAGGTCCTAGCACTCTTGCCTGAGCTGCCCAGGTCCCACTCCTTTACCTTCCTGCAGACAGATATGCTGTGTTCCCTCCTTGGGGGAAGATTCCAGGCCTGACTCCCTCACACAGGCCCTGCAGCTCCCCAAATAGATGGGTGTGTCTGTCCTGCTCACCTGGTAAGCCTCTTGCTGGGTGGAGGCCCGCCCATGGTCAATCACTTGGGAAGGCAGGAAGTGGAACTGGATGTCTGGGTGGGGGACCCCAGGCTGGCTGCGGATGAACCCACCTGTTTCCAGATGGGCAGTGGCTCCATCCCCTGTAGGTCCAAACAGGTCAAGGCAGAAGGGCCAGTTAGGGAGTAGAAGGCCGGCAGGGCATGTTCCTGGCATCTCTCCTCTCCCCTTGCAGCTCCTCTTTGTGCTCCGTCCCAAGCCCTGTCCACACTCTGCTCTTTCCCCAAGGTGGACTCATCCAGCCCCATAGCTGTAAGCATCAATCATGCCAAACGGACAACTGGCACTTTGACACTTCCACCTGCCCCCTGGCCCTTCCCACCAGCTGGCATGCAGGAGGGAAGTGGGGAAGATGCGGAGTGAGGAGAAGCATCTCTAAGAGCAGCTTCCTGGCCAGATATGTGCAAGATCTGCAGCCCAGCCCCAGCATCTTTTCCTCTGGGTACTGAACTCCATGTGAGACTCATCCCTTATGCCTGCAAGAAGAGCAGCTCCTAACCCCTGGACAGCCTCATCTTGACAGGTGCTATAACCCATCAGGCAGGAACATTAGACACCCATTTGGCAGATGGAAAAACTGAGGCTTGGGCCCAAGGCAAATGGCAGAGCTCAACTTCAAAGCTAGCAATGTGAGGCCAGAGCCATCACTCTGCTCCTCAAGGGAGAGATCATGATACCTACATGATACCCAGCATCACGAAGGAGCCCACCTGTGAATTTCCAGAGCCACTCTAGACCAATGCAGAGCTGCCGCAGGGGCTTTTGGGCTGAGTGAAGGGTGATGGGGAGGGTGCACGCCTGCTGAATGTACACTTCCAGGTGGTCCTGCAAGTTCTGGCCAACTCCTGAAACAGGAAGGAGAGGTGAAGGGAAAGGCTTAACTGGGGGACTTAACTGGCTTCTCAATATCCCCTTAGGTTTGAAAAGCTTCCCTGTCGGCTTATGTTCTGGACCAGTGTCAGCTGGGTCCTTGGGTCTCAGCCTAATGCCACTTCCTGAGAAGCAAAGTCTGCAGCCTGTGCCATGTCCAGCCCCTTCTCCTACTGCCCAAGCCCCCTACCCTGTCCATGTGGGAAAGGCTGGCTGGAGCAAGGCAAAGATAACAAACAAGAACTCAGTATCCAGTAAGGTCCAGAGGACCCTCAGACTCATGGAGGGTGTGACAGTTCCACACAGCGTCACTTTTGTCCCCCACCCTACCCCGCCTCAAGCTAATAAAACACACTGTGCTCTTTCATTTTGCAGAAGCGGCCTCCGGGGAGCAGTGAGGGAGGTGCTCACCAGGCAGGTGGCACACCACGGGAATGCCCAGCTTCTTGAGGTCGTCTGCATTCCCCAAACCAGAGAGCATGAGCAGCTGCGGAGAGTTGATGGCGCCCCCACTCAAGATCACTTCCTTGCTGGTGTAAACCTGGAAAAAAGCAGGGCACTGGTCTGTTACATTTCCTGAAGACTCGACTGTTCTCCAGGCTTGTGGACTAGCCAGCACCACCAGATCATGGCCTTGAGGGGTGTGAAGAAAGGACCAGGGACACAGAAAGCTGCTTGCTGGCCCAGGATGAAGAGGGCGGGCCTTGCTGTGCCACCGTTTTCAACTGCAAAGTGTGACCCTCAAAGTGAGCCATGCTCTGAGACGTTTGCAATAGCCAGACAGTCATGAGGGCCTTAAAAACGGGGAGAGTAGATTTAAATCAGATCAGTGAAGGTAGGCCCTGAAATGAGCCATGAGAGCAAGCAAGCAATGATCCAGATCTACACATGGTGTGCAAAACAGTCTTCGACACACTGCTGAGCACAGAAAATGTGCAGTCACATTTTCTATGCAGGGTACAATCGATCACATTTATGGGTTTTAAAATCTCTTAGTATAAATCAATACATTGTGTCAGGTCAACACCCTGAAAGGGCACAGAAGATACCAGACTGCCCTGAAATGAGCATGACAGGTGCGTGGGCACTTACACTAGGCCACCATGGCACCTTTGCCAGTAGTGGGACTGGGGACTTCCTCACCCCACCAGCTCACTGCTTCCTGTGCGGCTGCAGGGATATTCATTACCCTACCACCAGTCCCTCCCTCACCAAGGGACATGTGCCTGCAGCTGGGAGCAGGGCACGCCCTCTGCCCACTCTGGGCCTGACCTGCCCTCTTGGCTGCTGGGGCCTTCCCTGGAGTCCACTCACCTTGTGGCTCTGGCCGTTCTTGACATATTCCACGCCCACTGCACGGGTGCCCTCAAACAGCACCCTGCTCACCAGCGTCCGGGACTCAGCCTTGAGGTTGGGGCGGCTCAGCGCTGGGTGCAGGTAGGCCGAGGCTGAGCTCCATCGCTTGCCTGCAGGACACAGAAAGGTCAGAAACAGCCTCCTGCCCTCCCCCAGTACCTGGGCAAGAAGAGGGAGCAGGAGAAAGAGCCTTATCTCTGCCTGAGCAATCCCTGCCTTCAAACTAAGACCAAAAGACTTCGCCCTACTGAAGCCCAGGGTGACTTGAGGGCTGTTGGGCACAGGTGAAAACCCTCTCACCTTGACAGGCTGACACGGGGCCCAGGACCAGTAACAGAATAGTGAGAGCCCTGAAAAGGCTACCAGCTCCAGCCACCCACCTGTTCTCTGAGCAGGGCCCTGCCTCGCTCTGTACCTCAATTTTCCCGTCTATAAAGCAGGGCCACAGCCCAACAGCAAAGTTGAGGAAGAGCCAGAGGAATGGGCAAGCGAGCCGCAGGCTCCTGGCTGCCTCGATGCCCTCCTCTGTTTACACCAACAGGGCCTCGGGCTCAGAGTTCCCACAGCGGCACCGCGCTGGGTCACTTCTCACTGGCTCCGGATGTGTCCCATGCACCCTGGGGTGCAGCATAACTTCCCTGCCACCCCATACCAGCCTCCTCTCACCCTCCTTTGCTCAGCATGGTGGGGCCACGCGGGAAGGGCCACGATCTGCGGAGGGGCGAGCCGGATGCGCACCTTCATGGATGGTCATGTCCATCCAGCCGAAGCCCTCCTGCTGGAAGCCGTTCATGTCCTCGGTGAGCGGGTAGCCCGCCTGCTGCGCGGCGCTCAGGAAGGCCGGGTGCAGCGGGTTGCCGCTCCGGCCCCGGGACACGTGCAGTGGGCCTGTCCCGCCGCGGTACGAGCCCGCGCCCAGCTCATGCGTCTGTGCGCGGCGGAAGTAGGGCAGGCAGTGCCCGTAGTCCCAGCCCTGCGCGCCCTGGCGCTGCCAGCGCTCGTAGTCTTCAGGGTGCCCGCGCACGTACACCATGGCGTTCAGCGACGAGGAGCCGCCCCACACGCGGCCCCGCGGCCAGTACAGCACGCGGCCGTCCAGGCCTGGCTGCGGCTCCGTGTGGTAGCACCAGTTGTAGCGGTCATCGCACAGGTTGGCCACGAGGGCCGCGGGCATGTGGATCTTCCACAGGAGACGCTTGCTCCCTGCGCGGAGGTCCTTGGGCCCGGCCTCCAGCAGCAGCACCCGCTCGGCAGGGTCCTCGGAGAGCCGGCTGGCCAGCACGCAGCCCGCCGAGCCCGCGCCCACCACCACGTAGCTGTACTCGGCGTCCGAGCTGCTGGAGCCCGCGCTGGCCAAGGCACGGCTCCTCAGGGCGGCCGCTGCCAGGGCTGGCCTTGAGCCCAGGAGCCCTGGCCTCCAGCACCGGAGGACACGCCACATGCTCCACAGAGAGCAATGGAATGATTCACTTCTCCTGTAACGGGAAAAGGGGCTTTGAGAACCCTGACGCCAGCCAAGTGTAACCGCACAGGCCTGTAATCCTAACTGCTGGAGAGTCCGAGGCAGGAGAATCTTAAGTTCAAGGCCCGGCTGGACAAAATAACAAAACGGGTGGGGATGCCGCACATGGTGCTGTACGCCTGTATTCCCAGTATTGTGAAGGCTGAGGCAGGAGAATCTCGAGTTAGAGGCTAACCTGGGTTACATAGTGGGTTCAAGGCCAGCCGAAAGTATACAGTGAAACCCTGCCTCAAAAAAAGAAGGGGGAAAAAAAAAATAAAATGGAGTAGGGATAAACAAAGGGCTACCTATGCCAGGACCCACATGATTAGGGGCATGGGAGACGTGTCCCTCCGCATGCTCACAGGTCCCCGGAGAGGATCCAGGCCTTCCTGCTGGAAGACAAAGGGGAAAAGGGCTCTCCAGTCATTCTAGAGGTCGCTGAGGCCACCAGGTGCTGGGCATTGTGTTCTACACTGTCAGTGCACAAAATAAGAGGAAAGAAAAAGGCTTTTCTCTATCAGTGCAATGAAGAAAAAAGAAAGAGGAAAAGAGAAATAAAAGTATACTGTTGAATCACAGTCTGGGGTTAGGGAGAGAGCCAAGACTTCAATACATGATACCTGGATACTCACTGTTAATTGGTTCTGAGAAATGCGACATGATACAAAAACAACAATCAGTAAACAGACTGCTGGCCTGGAAAGGTTAATAAGTCACAAAGTAACTGACACCAAACTCTAGCCTTTGTATCAAGAACCAAATGTGAATACCAGGACAAAATTTTCACATCAAAATGCGTCAGTATGAATTCAACAAATTTTGAAGCAGTCAATTACGAAGGTGTGACTCTTCCTAAAGGGAGGTGAGGATGAGGGTCCACGGCTGTGACATTCACAAGGTGACCTGAGAAACTACAGCGTGTGCCAGGGGAGTTTAAGCAGGAGGCCACATTGGAACCACCCTCTCAGAGATGTGGAGTCCTGGACAGAAATACCAGTGGCTTTGGAGGGTCCTTTCCCAAAACATTCAAGTCAGTCCCAGTCTGTTCAGTGCACAGAGTTGGAAGGAGAACTAGAACATCCCACTTCAAAAGCTCCCTGGACAAAGACATCTGAGAAAGCCCCCTTTTATGAGGCTCTGGCCACCACTGAGGCAAAACAAGAGAACAGAGAAATCCTGATGAATCTCCCTCACCCTTGCCTGGACCCCTGTACCAGCTAACAACAGCCTAGCACAGGAGGCAGGGTAAGGTAAGGAGAAAAACGGACGCCTCCCTCTTTCCCCCGTGGCAGTGGAGAAACAGGCCGCTGGGCCTTTGGAAAGCCATGCCTGGAGCAGAAACTCAAAAGGGTAACATGCAAAACCTCAGGCTCCCCACCAGCACATGGCAGCAGCAGGCCATAGCTCAGGGCCACCCAGCGGAAGCCATGTTCCACAGTGACAACCTCACAGGGCACAGGGCACAGGGCACAGATCTGATTTACCTTAGTTCCCACCATCCCATTATGTTTAAGACCTGGTGTTCCATAGAAAACTAGGAGACACCACAAAGCAAGACAAATTCATGACTGCTTGTTAAGAGGCAAGGAATCAGGTGAACCAGAAAAGGTGACTTCTCCAGATGTCAGAACCATCAAAGACATGAAAAAGGCAAGAACATTACACATGAGTTGATGGAAAAGATGGACAACATGTGGGACAGAATTGCAGCAAATCTTGGCAACTGTTAAAAGATACAAGAAAAATAAATTTCTTACTGGATACAGCAGAGAAGAGAATCAGTGAAACTTAAGATTAGTTTAACCAAGTGGAAATGTTCAGAAAAGAGGGAAATGGAGGGGGAGGGGAAGGGAATGTAAGAGCTGAGAACTCTGGGACCGCAAGCCATCTAACACAGAGATACTTGGAGTCGTCCCAGGAGACAGAAAGGTGACAGGAGGTGAGGACACACCACAGAGAAGAGGAAATATTTAAAGGAAATATTGCTGAGACTTTTCCAAAATTAGTATAAGACAAGCATCATGGGTTCCAGAAGATTTGAGCATCCCAAACAAGATTAATACCAAGAAAACCCCCCTCTAAACACATCACAGTCAAACTGCTGAAACATGAAGATCAAGAGAAAACCACCAAAGTAGCCAGACAAAAAAAGACACATGGCTGGGGATATAGCTCAGCGGCACAGCACCTGCCTGGCAAGCACAGGGCCATGAGTCCAATTCCCAGTACAGAAAAAAAAAGAAAGAAAAGACACGTATAGAGCGATAATCAAGAGTGATGGCAAACTTTCTGTCAGAAAACATGCAACTCAGAAGATAATTGAGGGACAATTCTAAAGTAAGGAAAGGAGAAAAACCCTAAGCCTAGTTTACCAAGCTTAATACAGGCACCTAAAATAGTCTCTGGGTCCTGTGAATACGTCTTTAAAAATAATGATTATAGTCTAGATAAAATGGCCAATCCCTTGAAAGATACAGAATGCCAAAACACATACAAGAAGCAGCACTTTCATAAGCCAAAATCTATTAAGGAAACAGAATCGAGAATTAAGAACCTTCCAAAACAGAAAGCACTAAGCCCACATGGGCTCTCATGGATCAAGTCTCGTGGCTCGACCAACCATTAAAGGAAGAAAGTACAGAACCATCCCAGTCCTCTACCAATGCTAAGACAGAAGCAGAGGGATTATTTCCTAACTAATTCTATGGAACCAACACTACTATACTACCAAAACCAGACAAAAATATTACAAGAAAACTGTAGGCCAGTATACCAAAATCCTCAACAAAATATTAGCAAATAGAATCTAAATATGATGAAAAGAATTATATACCATACCGAGGCTGGATTCATCCTAAATACCCAACACTAGTTCAGCCTTTGCACCCCCTCACATGAGCAGGCCAGGTAAAATTCACATCATCATAGCTGTGGGTGCAGGAAAAGCAGGGTGGGGGGTCTTGAACATGATAAAGCATATCTACAAAAACCCTACAACTGCTGTCTAATGGTGAGAAGCCTGAAGCTTTTTCCCTTTTGTTTTTTCAGGGGGCGGGGACAGGGTCTTGTTATGCAGTTCAGGCCGCCTTGAGCTCCCTTTGTAGCCCAGGCTGGTCTCAAATTCACAGTGATCTTCCTGCGTTAGCCTCCCTCGTGCTGGAATTACAGGTGTGAGCCACCATGTCCAGCTTTCCTGAAGCTTTTCTACTATGACTGAGCATAAGAAGACTATGTCCTTTCCCACTGTTCTTTTTCACCATTGCACCAGAAGCCCTAGCTAGGGCTTACCTCCCTTTAGGAAGAGTCACACCTTCGTAATTGACTGCTTCAAAATTTGTTGAATTCATACTGACGCATTTTGATGTGAAAATTTTGTCCTGGTGTTCCACATTTGGTTCTTGATACAAACATAACATAACAAAAGGAAATAAAAGATACAGAGCCTGCGAAGGAAGAAATAAAATTCTTTTCAGGTGCATGATCATCTACGTAGAAAATCTGAAAAAACTGACCAAATAAAAAGTAAAACAAAAACTCCTGGAAACGACAAGCAAGGAGACTGCTGGATACAAGGTCAGTGTACAAAAGTCTCCTGCTAGCCAGGTGTCATAAGCACATGTGTAATCCTAGCACTTGGGAGGCTGAGGCAGGGAGATCACAATGTTGAGTCCTATCTGAGCAACTTAGTGAGGCTGTCTCAAAATCAAATAATAAAAAAGAGCGGAGGCTGTAGCTCAACATAAAGGTCCTGGGTTTATTCCCCAGTACTGTAAAAAGCAAGCAAGCTCGTGGCCTATTACTAGCATTGAACAAATGAAATCTGAAATGGAAAGAGTAGCATTTAATTTAGCACTCCAAAGAAATAGACATAAATCTCACAAGACATGTCAGATCTGTAAGAAGAAAACTACAAGACTGAAGAAAGTGATCAAGAAAGGCTATCGGCTATATAACTTCAACCACAGCATTGTGGAAAAGACACACTTCAGAGATAGCAAAAAGATCCATAGTTTCCAGGGGTTGAAGGGAACATTAGAGGGAGCAGAGGGAATGTTTAGGTTCATGAAACTACTCTGATACCATTATGATATGTTAATGGCAGGCGCGTTTCACTATATCCTTGACAAACACAGAATACGCATTACCAGAGTGAGCCCTGAGGTAAACTGTGAGCTCTGAGTGGTCATGTGTGTGACTGCAGACTGGCCCTTGTAATGCAAGTACCGTTCTGTTGGGGGATGCTGACAGCGGGCGAGGCTGTGCTCCTGTAGGTCAGCGAGTATTTGGGAAATGTGTGTATCTTCCTCTCAGTTTTGCTGTCAAACTAAAACTGCTCTAAAAATTAAAATCTTAAAAAAAGTCACAGTCTGACTCTTCCATGTTTGACCCATCCCGACCATTCACCTCTTGCCCCTGGGACTGTCAATAAGAAAACCCTGGAGTTCCTATCCTGTATCTTGGTGTGAGAGTTCGAATTCTCACTCCAACCCATACACAGCCATCCTTACCTTCATCCCAAACCCTAGCCATAATGGAAGTCAGGAACACTTACTCTTTCCTTTGCCAAAGCAATCCCAGGCCAGCTTGGAGCCCTGTCCTGCTCCTCCCCGGAAGCCCTATTACGTGAGCACTAAACCTTTCCGTAGCCTTCTAGTGTGTGTGTGTGTGTGTGTGTGTGTGTGTGTGTGTGTGTGTGTGTGTAGGGTCTCAACACCGAACAGTGGTATTGGTAGTATCTTATCCACCACAGGGCAACCAGGAGACAAAACGACATACCTACAAGAGCATCAGGAAATATAAACTGCTGAGTAGGAGTAAATTTAACAAAATACCTACCTATATACACAAAACCACAAAATGCTGTGAAAAATTAAAGACCATCTAAATATGCAGAGACACTATGAACAGAGAGATTCAGTGCTGATATGTCTATTCTCAAGTTGATGCCTAAATTCAATGCTGCTCAAAACA